CGCGTTAAATATCGCATGCGATTTATCGTGCAGCCCTAACTACAACTTATTTATGATCAATAACAATTTATTTTAACCATGATTCTCTAACTGACGAGCCCACAGCTTGCAAAGTCAGTCCTCAAAAGAAGTCCAGATCTCCCAACAGTTACCACAACTTTGCTGTGCCTTTCACATGTGGCCCAGACAACATGTGATCTGAACTAACCTCTGTAAAGCTGAAAAAGAGGCCGACCCCTCCAAGGATCTTCAGAGCTTCTGATGAATGTTGGAGCATCTTTTCACCGCAGGTGAGGCAGGGGCTCTTTTTTAGACATGGCTGCAGGAAAGGAAAACAAGGAATTCATCTTCATTTTTCACATTTGGTTAACTCAGCATTCACCATTCAGGCTACGTGTTATTATCAGATACAAATGCACCATTCACTCATCATCTTAGAATAAACTGTAGAGGGGTGGTCAGACAATTTCTCACAGTCTAAGCGGGCCAGAATAAGATGTAATGTGGACCAGATTCAATTCTTGCAGCTCATGCTTATTGTCATGCTCACCCCCTTTCCTACCCAATTTCTTTTCCTTTCTCTACTTTATCTGTTCACTAAAGTGTCAAAAAGCCAAAATAAAACAAAAACGAACACGAGGATATATTCTTACAGCATCGCAGAGGTGTAAGTCAGACATAAACACTCCCAGGTTCTGTGTATTGTTGAACAAGCCACAGCAGTCCAGCTTCTTCTCAATGCTGTTTCTTGTGTCGTTATTCATCATTCCCCAGGATGAATTCAGCAGCTTCTCCTGTTTTGGTAATGTGACAAGACAAAAACCAGGAGTCACACTCAGTTTCTCAACAAACAATTGTGCAACGACAACAAGAGTGCTTTAAGTTAATTAGGATCACCTGTTGACCCTGGTTCATGGCCAGGCAAGAACAGGAAACTCCAAACTGGAAGAGGAAAACAATGAAGAGAATGACCATGTACTGTGGAAAAGCAGTTGTGGTCAAGGACTTCACAAGATTCATATAGGAGAATTTAGAATTGATGTTTTATGGGCATTGAACTATAAAAAACATGTAGTACAAACGCTGCTAAAGGATACAAAGAAAAGCATGACTTGGTGATGATGGACGGCTCCAATGAGTCCCACAATGGCGATCAGCAGCAGAAAGAAGCCCACGGCAATCAC